GGGGGGGGGGGGGGGGGGTACGAAGCGTTTTCTTAGCCAAGTAATAATGTCTCTATGGAAAATCGATTGATGTAAATGTAACGATCGTTTATTCAAATTTAACGCGAGTAACCTTAAAATATGCCGCTACAATGAATGGGCGCTCGTTTCACTTGGCCTCGCGTCACTTGATCGCGCGCATTCCCAGCGAATCGCAAAAAATCGCGCGCCCGTCACTCGATGATAAACGAGCGAAAGGGGGGGGGGTGGGGTGGGTGATCGTGGGAGGGTGGGCGGGAGAGGGGGAGTGGGGAGGAGGGTGTGAAAGGCATCGGCCCCGGCTAAGGCGCGTCTGTCATGTCGCAAAGGGTCGCTGGAGCTGCGGGAGCTGACCTTGGGGGAGCAGACCCCCTGCGTAACGAGGATACGCACCCTCGATTACAACGGGGATGAGGAGTCGGTGGTCGGGCGCTCGACCTCGACGAGGCTCTGCATCGAGGCTGACCTCAACCTCGACTGCGAGCAATTCCGTATGCTTATCGCCACGAGGCTCTTCGGCAAGGGGTGAGTACCGACCCCAATAGTCTTCCCCTATATTTCTCCCGCACCCCCTTTCGCCTCTACCGCCCTTACCCCCTCACACCATACTCCTCATCATCCACGAACGTATATGGGGTTGCTTTTGTATTAGCCACATCGCAGGATGGGTGCTCTAGGAGTAGCTACGTTTGCCGACCGAATTAACACGCGTTCGAGCATTTCGAATTGTCGGTGTAATGTTTAGCTTCGGGTGTGGTACGTTCGTTCACCAATAATACCTAAGCGGATTTATGAAAATGAAACGAGCTTGATGCAAATTCTCTGCGTTGGCAGATTCATTACATAAGCTTTTGGCAAATGCTAATCAATAAATATAACATTAAAATTCGTATTATTAAATAATTTAATGCGGTGGAAGTATAAAATTGTTACAAAAAAAGAAAAAAAAAAAAAAAAAAAAAAAGGGAAAAAAAAAAAAAAAAAAACAAAAGAACAAAGCCAATTATAATTTCTCGGATTTCAACCGAGGAAACTTTCTTATGATCAATTAAATATTAAATACAATATATATGTATTCATCAATATTTTATAATATACGTACGAGCAAAATATTGAATCATTGTCACATACAGCGCGGAGTACTACTACAACCTCCGTCTAATATAAAATATGCATAGGAAATTAAAATCGATGCCAATTACCATTAATTAAAAAATATATATATATATATATATATATATATATAAGCGTGTAAGTTTAATCGCGGAGATTTTTCGAATATTTCGAAGGCGTTACGGTACCGTAAATCAAGCATATCAAGCTTACAAGTTACGTTTCTTTCTCTTAATCTATCTTTCTTTTCCACCAATTGCTAAACATTGATATAATCGAGCACGAAGCTCGGAAATGGTAAGTCGTGTACGCACGGCCGCATGGAATATCGTCCATCTTGAAAAATCAAAGCGATGCTTTGAAAGCGAGGGATGCGTGACTTTCAGAATGGGCATGGACATTGATCTGGCAGTGGAGAAGCTCTCGGTGTCGGGGACGATCCTCGCGTCGCTGAGTCTGGACGCGAACGCGCCCTTCCCTCACGCGAGCCACCTGAGCCTGAGCTTCGTCGAGAAGCCGGATGTCTGGTTCAGCGTCCGACTGTTGCGCTCCGTGCAGATGATGGAGGTGCCGCTGCTCAAGACCTGGATACACGCGGTCGTGTCCGACGCACTGGCCAGCTGGCTCGTCGATCCCGGGCACTTCGAGCTCGATCTTAGAGCCCAGGATAGGCCCGGTCCCGGCTTCGACTGCGTGCCCAGCGGTGTGCCCCAGGCCGTCCTCACCGTCTCACTCTCGCAGTCCGTCCTCGCAGGTACGCCGATTCATCTCGATTTCTTAACGGGCAATTTGATAAAGTAGGGACCAAGTCCTCTCAATCCTCGCCCTTGGCTCACTCAAGTCGATCGAGCCCAATGCGACATATTTTAATGACGCGATCCGCCTACGCAATACGCAGTCGCCCAATTGAATTATCGTGGGAGTATCCTTTTCGGCTTAAGAAACTTTACGGCAATGTAATCGTACAATCGAGAAAATGATGGGAAAAAGGAGGAGGCTTGCTTGGAAAGAGCGCCGGGTGCGCAGAGAAACGATCGCGAGGTAAAGCACCGCGATCGATATAAGTAAAGTCCTTTTTAAACAAACGCTCGCGATATCGACTATCGAGGGATGTTGTAGGAGTTTCGAGCGTTTCGCATCCAATGAGACGATTAAAAGGGAGCGTGAAATATAATTCTTCAGGACATAACGACGAAGTGAGATGGCTGGTGGTGATTATCGGGGAGCAGCGCGTCGTCACGTCGCAGCTCGGAGCGACCTGGAGCGAGGACGTCTCCTTCCTCGTCGGGCCCCTCGACAACGAGCGAGTTGTCATCAAACTCAAGGCCAAGAGGCTCGTCAGCACCATCACTCTCGCTCAGTTCGAACTCGCCCTCGGCCTTTACAATTGGGAGAGCTCGCAAGTGTAAGTCAGAAAGGACTCCAAGGTCTTACCTAACCTTACCTTACGCCCTTTTTACGGCCTGCGATTGCTCGACGGGGGCTAAACGCTTTTAACGAACAGTTATGGCCGTCGATGCCCCGAAGTGAAAATTACTTATCTTAATTTCGGAATAATGTAATTATACAACGACGAGATGCTGTTTTAGTTAAATTTTAGGCTTTGGCCGTTTGGCTTCCCTCGACATTGTCCGATTATCTCAATTGGTACTTTACGAAAGATTTAATCGACCGTTAATCAAATTAGGCCGATAATTCCTTACAAATTTTCTGCATTATCCTAGAATTTCCTTTTTATTTCAATATAAGTATTTATCAATATATTAATTATATCCTCGTTAAATCAATACTTCCATTCATGTTATTATATATATATATATATATATATATATTTTTTTTTTTTTTTTTTTTTTTTTTTTTTAATAAAAACTGTCATTTATTAATAAGCCACTATTAAAACTTCCTTACATTCGATATAAATAATAAGGGATAATTATAAAATGCAATGCTCTTAATAATTTGTAAGGAATAGATGTGTATATATACATGAATTAATTAATTAATTAATTAACAAAGTCGAATGCTATGACATAGCGAAGTATTGAAAAATCTTGCTTTATTTTTAATATTAAACTACCAGTATTGAATTATCCTGAATTATTGATTATGCAGAATGTAATAGAGTAGAATATTTTTATGAAAATATCTATAGGGTGGAAACAGTGTTGCAGCAGAAAAAACCATCACGTAATAGCGCAAATATTTCAAATATAAATGCAAGGCTCGAATATTCCGCCCTTCCAACTTTTGAACCAGATGCACCGCAGCCAAGTATACCCGATTCCATGGAAATGCACTCTGCTGGTAATTATCTCGATTTATCTAAACTCATTCTTTTATTCTTATAGATTTTATCAGCTTTTATAAGTAAAGCCGACGATTCGGAAATGAACATTACATTTTTTTCTTTTTCTTTCATCGACAGGTGTTCTCGTGGTGTACATTCATTCTGCGGATAATCTCAACAGCGACACAATACAATGTAATCCTTACTGTCTACTTTTTAACAACCGTAAAAAGGCGAGTCTTATTAATAATGATACACGGTATTGAATTTTCATCTCAAATATATCAATAAAGCATTTCTATCGACAAAAAACAAAAAACAAAAAACAAAAAACAAAAAACAAAAAACAAAAAACAAAAAACAAAAAACAAAAAACAAAAAACAAAAAACAAAAAACAAAAAACAAAAAACAAAAAACAAAAAACAAAAAACAAAAAACAAAAAACAAAAAACAAAAAACAAAAAACAAAAAACAAAAAACAAAAAACAAAAAACAAAAAACAAAAAACAAAAAACAAAAAACAAAAAACAAAAAACAAAAAACAAAAAACAAAAAACAAAAAACAAAAAACAAAAAACAAAAAACAAAAAACAAAAAACAAAAAACAAAAAACAAAAAACAAAAAACAAAAAACAAAAAACAAAAAACAAAAAACAAAAAACAAAAAACAAAAAACAAAAAACAAAAAACAAAAAACAAAAAACAAAAAACAAAAAACAAAAAACAAAAAACAAAAAACAAAAAACAAAAAACAAAAAACAAAAAACAAAAAACAAAAAACAAAAAACAAAAAACAAAAAACAAAAAACAAAAAACAAAAAACAAAAAACAAAAAACATAACAATAAACAAAAAACGAAACAAAAAAAAACAATAAACAAAAACAAAAATAAAAACAAACAAATATAAGAGATTCCATTGCAAAATTTTACCATTCCTATTGCTTATAATGGCGACGATTGTCATAAAATAATTGACATGTCCCTTCGACTTAACGCATCTCTCTCCCTTAAATTTCACATCCTCTTTAACATTACGTGCAGCTCAATATTCCATCTGAAAATCATCCATTTAATATACACGACCTTTCTCAGGTGAAAACGACTCATTACATTCGAGGTACTAATTCACCGCACTGGGAGTCGCGCACCGAATTCCTCGTTCAAGATTATACGCAAGTATCTCTGAGCTTCGTCATTTATTCTTGGAACATTTCGAAAATGGCCGATACGGATATGCTGGGACTCGCGATGCTGTCCCTTTCACCGGTTTGTAATCCCCGATATTGCTTATTCGCGCGAACACGCACATTTTATTCTTCATACATTTCGCTATGCATTTATCATCGAGCGCATTAAGAAATCGACTATTTCGACAACGCGTGGTTTAAAAAAAAAAAAAAAAAAAAAAAAAAAAAAAAAAAAAAAAAAAAAAAAAAACATCCTACGAACGCATGCATGACGACTTATTTTTAATGCCTCCCAAAAGGGTACGAAATGGATCGTCCGTAAGGAATTGACACTAAGCGGATCGAACGGCTTATCGACGATGACAGTCTCCGTGCTGTTCCACCCGATACGAAGTGTCCAGCAGGCCTTGGCGAGTCGACGTAATAGCGTTAACCAGGCTGTCGCCGAGGACGAGCCAAAGGCCAAAAGAAACAGCCTTCCCTGGATGCAGCAAGCGGTTAGTGTCGTCTCTCTCTCTCTCTCTCTCTCTCTCTCTCTGTATGTATGTGTGTATGTGTGTATGTGTGTATGTGCGCGCATCGATCCCTCCGACCCCACCGCTCCCGCCACAGCCAATCAACCGATAATAAGCCGATCGCGAGGCGCGACCGACATTTCGCAAAACGTCCGATTAACTATTCGAATCCGCAGAAGTTGTTACTGACGCACCGGGACATTGACGCCACGACCTCGGACGTCTCGAGTCTCCTCTCCACCGGCAGCGGTCTCATGGAGGTGACGCTGCTGCGCGCCAAAGATCTCGTCGCCAAGGACCTCAATGGCTTCAGCGATCCATTCTGCGAGCTCAAGCTCAGCAACGAGACCAAATACAAGAGTAGCGTGAAGAAAAAGACGCTCAATCCCTGCTGGGATGAAAGCTCCATCATGGGCTTACCACGGAACGGCGAGACTCTTGACGTGGTGAGCAATTTCGATCGTAAGGTCAAGATATTTTCCATTTTTTACTTCGGTCGACAAAATAATGACCCTTTCATCTGCTTAATGACCCGGCCTTTCTTTAAATCTTCGAAGCGATTTTTTTTTTTTATTTTTTATTTTTTTTTACCATAATATATGTGTCCGCTCATTGTCCCTTTTAAGTCAATCGATAATCTCATAATATGAGATGGAGGAATTTAGAGAATATCACTAGGTGTTAGAGGAGGAGGAGGAGGAGGAGGAGGAGGAGGAGGTAAGGAGGTAAGGAGCTTGAATTTCACACGTTCATTCATATTTCAACGGATTCCTATTCAACGAGATATTTCGTTGGGCTAGCGTTTCCATTATTATTTTCACCATGTATTCGTAGGTACTTTGGGATCACGATACTTTCGGTATGAGAGACTACCTTGGCAAAGTATCATTAACTTTAAGTGAAATTCGGAGATTATCGAATACCGATCAGTCGTATTGGTTTGCGCTTCGCGGCACAAAGTCTGGATCGATAGAGCTCAAAATCAAAGTCCTGTCGGAAGAATGCGAGGTAAGGGTATAACGAAAAGAAAAAAAAAAAGAAAAAAAAAAAAAAAAACAATGAAACAAATTTGACTTCACATGCCGACCGAGGGCTTATAATTCTTATAATTCTAGACACAAAGTACTTATGCGACGAGCACTGTTAGCGACGTCTCGACAAGACCGAGCGAGCCCCAGGACGCGCCGATAACGACAAATCCAACTATCATCAGAAGACCGTCTATGGAAAAATCCAGAATGAAACTGCACTTGGAACCTGTCGTACCACCGCCCCCTCCACCCAGAACGGTCACATTGATAAAGGTTCCGACAGTTTCACAAAACGATCGCTCGGCACAATCGTCGCCATTAAATAATCTACGAAATGCAAATCACGCAGGTGAGAGTCGATTTTTTGTCGTGGGCGAGGGGAGGTAATGTCTTAAAATCACCTTAAAATCACCTCTCGATCGCCTTTCAATCACCTTTCGAGGCACCTTTCGAGCCACCTTTTAAGCACGCACGCAATAATGCATTTGACATTTTAGGAAAAGTAATCACAAAAGCCAAAGATTTGGAAGAGAATCACGAAGTGGCGAATAGTCATTGGTCATGCAAAAAAAATGGCGAACAAATTGAGTGTGCGAGCGAAACGGATGATCCAAAATTGAAGCTGTCGTCGAGTCAGCATAGCTTAACTCCTAGTCCCGATCAGAGTTTTGGAAAGAAAATACCACAATATAACAGTTTCCGACTGATGAAACAAAAGGTGTAACGATGCTTTCTAATAAAGGATCATATACTAGAGAGGGACGAATTTTTTTTCTTTCTTTCTTTCTTTCTTGTTTTTTATTTCTTTCATTCTTTCTTTTTCTTTTTTTTTTCTTTTTTTTTTTCTTTTTTTTTTATTAGTCAATATTTTAATAACATTTATTCTTGACATTTATTTAACGCGAAGCTTAATCAATAGCAATGAATTTTAAAGCGAATGGTGAAAGCTGTGATTAATTAAGGATACAGTAATGACAATAATATGCAATCGTTTACTTTCTTTCTTTCTTTAAGCCACGCGAAACTTTCAACGATTACTCTCTTGTTTCGTATGCATTAAAGACGTTGGCCAATATCAAAGTTAATTCAATAATCAATTATATAAAACATAAATATAAAAAACTTTTTTTTTTTTTTTTTTTTTTTTTTTTTTTTTTTTTTTTTTTTTTTTTTTTTTTTTTTTTTTTTTTTTTTTTTTTTTTTTTTTTTTTTTTTAGAATAAACGATGATATCCAATACTCGGTTTCATTACGTAAAAATAAATTCAAATTTTTATATATTCTATATATATATATATATATATATATAGACAAATATATATATATATATATATATATATATATATATATATATGTGCGTGCGTGCATGTGTGTATATACGAATAAATCACGGCCATTTTATCATTTGATCCACCTATCCTTGCTTGTAAATTATTATTTCAATGTTTATGCATCGCTCGTGAGGAAAAAATAAGATTAAAAGAATTTAAGTATTTCCATTGGTAAGTTGAATTTTAATTACAGATGAAACGTGGTTTAAAGCTCCGTAGATTTCGTTCGGAGGTTAACATCGAAGATAGTAAATGCGATCGTAATAAAGGTATCGCATTGAGTCTGGAACCTCGTGGTAGCGGTGAGGCGAGTGCTACGGAACTTTTACAAAATTCCGGACTCTCGCACGCGGTCTCGCAACCTGACATGTTGACCAGAATTCGGCATTCTAGTCCAAAGTTGAGGCTCAAGCCAAATGGTAATTAGCCCTTTCCATCGACGTCAAAATGATCCGCAAAACTCTTTTGCGCAAAGCACGAAAATCTATTTATTTATTGTTTTTTTTTATTATTTTTTTTCTGCTCTTCTTTACATTACAGATTTGAAAATTGTGAATGGTATGAGAGAAAAATATTCCGGAGTCGAAGGGAAAGTTCTTCAAGCACAAGGACTTCACGTAGCACATATTGCCCAACTCTACTGTCGAGTTAAATTTCACAAGTAACCGTCCCTTTTATCAATTCATACTTATGTGTAATGTACTATATCGCTAGGCAAAATCTGTTATTATTATATTTCACCAATCGCGCAATTATAAAAGCCAGAGTACCGAATAATCTGCATTATTTGCTAATGACGATACGAGCAAGTATGCTTTCATCGTACAGCTTTTATCTATTATGAATAACCATTGATTGATATTGATATGAATGACCATTGATATTACGATTGTGTTTGATAGTTGCACGAGCCCGGAAAAAATAAATGTATCCTTGAATGGCGGAAAAACAATAGCAAAATCTCGACTATTACCGGCGATGCCAAATCCTCAATTTTGCATCGACTTTCAATTGGATCACGATGCTGTACCTCGCCAGGCGATACTTATTTTCGAAATTCGAAGTGCCACTAAAGAATTACTTGCCAGCAGACGAATAACGTTGCACGAATTGTTAGGTAAATCTGTCCATCTCTTAATGTAACATTATTGTTAATTTGAATTATTGCTTTAATAGGCGTAGCTTTTTAATAGCAATTAAAGTGTGCATTTTCGATTCATCTAATTGGATTGTCAATAGTAATGACTCTATTTTTTTTATTCTGTTTGTTGTTTTATTTTTATACGTGCGTTAGGACAAAAAAAAAAAATTAAAAAAAAAATTAAAAAAAAAAATTAAAAAAAAAAATTAAAAAAAAAAAACAAAAAAAAAACAAAAAAAAAAATTGAAACAATCGTGCTATCATTTTCCATACGAGAATGCATAATGTAAATGTAGCATTTAAACAATTATCGACTTATCCTGAGATGTAATGCTTGTGAATTTGCAGGAGCGTCGCTGGCAACAAACGAAGTTCGTACGTGGCTTGCATTAAATAACGGCGCCTCTCTTGAAATTCAAATCGCTCACGGCCGAGAGATCAAAAGATCGACGAAGAAACTCTTCAGATCGTGGTCGGTGCATCGGATTGGAAAGATCTGAACGTAAGAGCTTCAGCGAGCTTTCGAGCTTCGTCGTCATATTAAAATGACGTGAAAGCCGTCGCCGAAGACCGAGAGAGAGAGAGAGAGAGAGAGAGAGAGAGAAAGAGTAATTTTGTACATGTAATAATTATATCAAGCTCTTCGTTAAATCCGATTAATTAACAAGGACATGACATACGCGTTGTAACGAATGGAGAACTTAACAGCTGCTCGGAATTGCGATTATAAGTAGAATTTCTACGATTATTTTATTGTATATAATAACGAATTGACGACTGCGATAATCGAGCTAAGCTGTTGACCAATGGATTCGTAATTTAATGAATTATAGAAATTAAAGTTAGAAAATGTAGGCAAAGTTAAAAGTATTGCAATATATTAATCCAAATTTTTCTTCGTTTTAACGCTTAACGAGTTGATCATCCGCAGCTCGTTACAAAAGGCAACAGTACCTGAGCAAATACTAATTTTACAAGAATATTAAGTTGCTTTAATATATTAAAGATCACGTATGTATTATCGATTAAATTTATATAATGAAATCGGAATCTAAATTGCTAATATATTATCTACTGAGATACTACGTAACAATTATACATAAATATTTGAATATATTTAAAATACGTAAGCATTCCATAAACATTAATCTTCGTAGAGTTTATAATTTATATTGTCTTGTAGTGTCTTGTAGATGTAGTGTATATCAGTATATTCAGGTCAAAGTATAAAAAATTTTACTATTTGATATTTTTCTACTCTACAACTATATTTAAGAGCAGCGTGCACGTGTAACGATAACATTTAAGAAATAATATATTTTCAAAAACGTTGTAAATCAAATACAATTGCAATAATAATAATAATAATAATAATAATAATAATAATAATAATAATAATAATAACAACAACGACGACGACGACAGCAACAACAACAACAACAACAATACAATGTAAAAAAAAAAAAAAAATATATATATATATATATATATATATATATTTACACGGATATATTCGATATGAGAGAGGAAATTTGATTTTATTAGACGTAATATTGTAATAATATTGTACAATAATAATGCGCTTTGAAATTTTGAGCACAATATTGACGGATCTTAAGAATTTTCAATTTAAGCAAATTTCACGTAATACAAATTAAAAGCTTTTAACGAAAATTTAACGACGCTCAAACGTACATAATTTTATACGAACTACAATGCTTTATTAAACTTTCTCACAATTAATGAAATATTAAGTGTCAATGATCGTCACTGTTTCCTTAAATCATATTTATTATAATGCGATTGACTTTGAAAAAATAATACATACGCTTGTGGATATTGCTGCAAACCATATTTAATATGAAAAAAGAGACTGTCTAATAATATAAAGATTATAAAATTCTAAAATCTATTAAAATTGTCATTGTTCAAAGTATCTGCGTGCATAATAATAAAATATTAAATTATAATTTTAATTCAAATGTATTTCTATGTATAAGACATTTAACATACAATAATAAATACTAATGTTACAGATACATTGAAAATATTTCTTTCGCTCAATTTCATGAATAATAAATGTCTTTAATCCCAAACATAATTTAGTAGCATTTTTAATCTTTTCTTGTCAAAAACCTATTTGTTAATATATATTCATTTGGCAATATATTCAAATTAACAAATTGGATTTCTTCTTCTTATTTTTCTTATGCGATAATAGACACATATTCAACTAATGAGAAAGGTACAATTGTGTCATTCAGACATTGATTAAAATCATTTGACAATCTCGCACATTACTTATAATTAATTATCCAAATAATTATCAAATAAATGTAATGGTTAATAATCAGTTGTTATTACAATTTCTCTTTTGTATATATTCATCGATCGGTGAAATTACTTGACTTTGCTCCATTCAAAATTTAACTTTAAATATCATTTTAATCCAAGGCAATAACAAATATTTACCATTTAAATGTCACTTTCTTTCTTTTTTTTTTTCATGTCTTCTATTGGATAAAAGTCGGTGGATTTCAAGGTCTTTGAAGTATCGGTTGATCTAAAATTTATAGAACTAACTATCGTACAACTACAAAGATAAAATATTAATGGGCAAAAAGATCGTACGCTAATTTTCAAACGCTTAAGTTTATTCTTTTTGGAATGTAAAACATTTATTAAAACTTTTATAAAAATAGAAATATACAACAAATTAATATTATAAAGAATAGATACAAACAAAAACAAATACTGTAGATATATTTTCAACGTAATAGTTGAATTTATGGAACAAAAATTTTTTATTCAATTCGATTAGTCGATCGATTATCATTTTGTAAATTTGTTTACACTAAAATAAACAACCGACTTAATATTAAAGAATAATAATAACAAATTAAAGAAATGCGTTATTTGAGATGGAACATTAAGAACTTTGGGGGAATAACTTTATTTGATAATTTTGCAAGAAAAATCATCTTTGAAAAACTTACAGATATTTTTAATTGCTTTTTTAACATATACAATTGCAAATGGATATAATTTTATTACAACGTCTTATGCATAACACTTCCATTAATTTATTACTAGTATTTCAAATAAAGCACTTTTGCATATTCATAAATTTGAAATATATAGTCACCCATGTCGATCGAACATTTTATGAAATGTAAGCAAATTTAATAACAATATATTACACATATATTGACATAATATCTGATTTTTCATAAATATGAAAATAAATATCTATCATTAAATTAAAACTTAATCTAATTACTGAATCTATCAAATTTAGACTTTCAATGTATTTCAACGATAAACAAACAACATATTTTAACATACCTTACAGGAATTATTGGAAATATTTGTTAACGGCAATCATGCATTATAAAGCTTGAATATCCATTAATTTTAAACATGGAGTTTTATAGTGGCTATAGTGAAATGTATATTGCTACGTTAAATCCGAGGCTTAGATATATGAAACACTACAAAATCAACTTGAATAATATACATATTCATTAGATGAATATGCACGTTTAAAATTTGAATTACAATAAAGTACATTCAACAAATTTAAGATTTTTGTAGTAACAATCGAGGTGCTTTATTTTTCTATTATCATTATTATGATCTAGGCAGTCTCTTATTTGGACAATACTTATTATGAAAACATTGTTATTTGCCCATTATAAACTTAAATTCATAATGAAATTGCGTTACTTTTATTTTCAATTTGCAAAGGAGAGAGTTTTGTGAAATGATGTTTATAAAATTCATAATTACCTAGGAAAATACAATTTTAATTTGTACACAATAGTTTTGCTAAATCGTATCTAAAACTCTTTAGAGAACCAGAGTTTCTTTTTACAGTTTCTCTATTACAATATCCATCGTTTAGTACGTAGCGATACTAATGTATTCAAAATTTGTTATACCTGACATGAAATATATTAAATGCTAAATAAAACTTATTCAGCTTGAAATATATTTTTAATTGGTGTATATTAAAATTAAAATTCACTATGGAATTTCGGAGCATCGTAGATTTGTAATACAATGTCGATTAACTCATTTGCCACTATAAATGGATAAAATAAGAATTAATGTTACGATAGAATGGAGTATTAATGCTAATACTAGAAGCGATTGAAAATTACCTTAAGCGGTGTTTTATTATGCGAATAACCGACTTCACGCTCCGTTCTCTCTCGTTGTTCGGCCATTTTTTGTTGATATTTAACGGCATTGATATTTCCAATTCCTCTATGCATTTGATCTGCCAGGCGCTTTTCAGCGGCAGCTGCTTGTTGTTGTCGGATGGTATCCTATTGCAAATAATATTGTTAAATTACTACTGTACAAACAAATTAATGACCGATATATGCAGAATTCAAACTAAAACTATCAAATTAACCACTCCTCCTTATTACAAGTTTATAATTTGATTTGAGAAATTAATAAAATATTATTATGAAAACTTTGCCAATATCCAGTAATTTCACCCGTCATTTCATAATTCCCATCAATTTTCTTATTCCATAATCAGACGTCGGAATCTATCGATTATCCAGCTTTTAAAGTTTTGACATTGGAAATTAAGTATTTTATAAATACAATAAATACAAATTGTAAAAGCTTCGTAACGCACAATCTCGTATAACCTAAAAATATGTACTATCTTACACGATCGGGTGTTATGTCTTCGTACGATGAACCTTTACAGCAGTTGCCCATTGTTAATTTTGTAATTTTTTTACAAGAACGTTAATATCTGTGGTATTAAATTATTTGAAAAATATACTACGACATTACGAAAATTCAGCCAGACATTTCGTACTTGCACATCTTGAAAATGCAAACTAATACGTAATTGATAAGCCAATTACGTAAAATACCTGCAATGCAATAATTAAGCATAGAATAGACATTATGACAAGTAAATTATAATACGCACATCGCTAATCCAATTGTATTACGTCGCAATTATTCGCGATTAAAAGTCAAGCAAACGCGAGGTACCGCCCATTCCGCGTGCCAACGTATTAAAGATATTTATATGTGCGACTATTGACACGTGAATCGGTAAAAACAACAACAACAACAACACCAACAACGACGACACAACGACGACAACGACAATGACAACGACAATGACAACGACAATGACAACGACACATAACAACGACACATAACCGTATATAAGTGACCTCGCCCCTTTCTCAACTTTAAGAAGTCGCGTGATATTTATATATTTATGTATTTAGATTTTTCAGTTTTTATCATTTAGAGGCATATTATCCTACCGATGAACCTTTAAAACCTCGTGTCATTCTCTCTCTCTCTCTCTCTCTCTCTCTCTTTCACTGCTTTGACTTACAGTTTACTATATTATCGAGGGCTACGCTCCCTCAGGCTCTTACGTAATTGACATTCATCGAAGTAATGATTACCTCAGTCCCGTCGCCGTTGGCCAATGTCTCGAGGCACGCACCCACCGATTCTTGCACCCGTATTCTCGACCAAGGATTACC